GAGCCAGTTCTTCTGGGTCAGGTAGCTCGTGTATCGCCCTCTTTCCTAAATGCCTGTTACTGGGTCTCTCTAGCTGCATCTCAGCTCGCTGTAAAATCTGCAGCGTGTCATCTGTTAAAACAGATTCAATATTACATGCAGTTAAAGATAATGGATTTCAAATTTGAGTAGGTTCCCCGATTTGGATCGATCCTCTCATTTGAAACTCTCTTATTTACTTTTTCCAGGCTGTCAACAAAAGAGGATGAAAACTAGCGATTCTCTCTCACTTGTAAAATTTGCTTTACTCCACTGACCGAGAGAGTCTCGCCGCCCATTGTCTCACCAAAATATTTTTTGTGTTTGTCACTCGTATTTTTTCATTTCTTTTTACCTTTAGAACTCGGAACTCTGACTTTAGAATACATGCAAATCGTACCGGCATGCACTGCGATATTAAGAAATGTACATGAAAGCGATCCTCGTAAAAATGAACACTACTTAAGTAGTAGATAAAATAAGGCCTGAAAAAATTAAGGCATGTACGGGATTTGAAGCCATGACCTCTGTTATCAGTATATTTTCATATGTTAAAATGAACTGCCATGAACGTCTTCTATATAATAGTGTTCGTTGTTTTTCCGAAATGGAATGTTAGCCTGATTGAGGTAGACCCACCACTTTGGGCGCCTGGGTAGGGGGAGGTCTTTGAACATCAACGCACTCATCACCTCTAGACGTATAAGACGTTAAGTAGAGAATCTTTTCTACCTTACGGCTTAATTTTTGGATTCTGATTACAGTTTTTTTTCACTCACTTCGGAAATTTTCAAAAGCTTCGTTGGTAATTTGTCCTCGGATGAGTCCTTGGAGCTAATAAAGAAAGAGAAAATACTTATATAATTATTAATTAAATTAGGCGCGTATTCATTTACAACGTTTTCAAGGCTAAAACTCGTCCAAAAGCTTACGGAGACCAATGTGTAAATGCTAGGATTTGTTTCGAGTCAAAGCTTTGGTTTTATTTTCCTGGGAGAGCATTATCATTATTATTATTATCATTATGATTCTCTTCCTTTTAATCGCACACGTAACGATTAATAATAGCGATATATTGCATATTTTTTTCTCTTATTAATTCCAGATTGCTATTTACTAAGGGTTTACCTTACAGCTTTATTTTTTAAATATATTTTTCCCGGCCTGAGATTTGAGTAAAGGAAAAAGTAATGAAAAAGCTGAAGAGTGATCGTATTTTTCGATTTGCTGTCATTGGAGTTGACTGGTGTGTTCGTCTATGAGAACGTATTAGGATAAAATACATATTTACTCACCCTCAATATGATTCGAGCGAGAGAAATGAGTAAATCAGCAAGAACCCTGTTTACAAGAATATGAT